TGTCTTAAGATATATATTGGTCATGACTTTTCAAGATTTGTACAAAACTTTAATTTTGGAAGATTTTTCCTTGGTTCAAAAAATGATTTCCTTTAAAAAGATTCTTTGCAAAAAAAGAAAATTCTTGGCAACACAAATTTAAAAATATGTAATTGTACTACTGGTACCGTAGTTTTTATTTTTTAAACCAAGACCAAACAGCTTCATGATATTAAAACACTTTCTGACGAAATCACCTGTATATAACACATAATATCATGTACATAATATATTACATAATTACAACAAATAATTGTTTAAAATAAATTTTTTTCAGATTTTATGTTGAGACATAAAAATATGGTTATATATAGCACTAAGCGCTTGTAATCAGCACTTTTTTTTATGACATTAAAATTTTAAGTATAAAAACAAATCTTTTTTTCCATTAATTTTGAAAATAATAGTTTAATATAGTCCAAATTCATGACTGTGCAATTCAGATAACAAATTCATCACTGATTTGAATTACATTTATTAATTGATTTTAGTTAATTAACTTTTCGAATAAATTACAAATATTTGTACTAGGTTGCTACTACAAAGTATAATTTTTTGATAACGAAAGCCACGCATGTCTGTAGTATATCGTAATCAATATATCTCAACATGATCTTCTGTTTAAGTAAGTGCAACACCTCTTCTCTTAAAACAGAAATGTTAAGAATACATTGTTTTAAAAGAAAACGATTTTACTTCTATTTTCGAAAATATGTATTCCAGATTAGTTTACTTTTTTGCGTATATTTTTTTTTTGTATTATATATACTTGTATTATTATTCAGTAAAAATAACAGTCAAAATTATTTGTCGGACCTCATTCAAAAGAACGACTACATAAATACTCAAAGTTTCAGTGCTTCAAGAATTCTTCTTAATCATCTGTTTTGTCTCTTTTTTGTTAATAAAATGAGCTCCACCCTCTGTCACATTTTCCATACACCTTTCTTGCGATCTTCCTCAGCTTCTAGTGCTCTATGATCGCGATGATATAGTGCTCTATATTGTCTTCATCAATTCTATGCTTAATAATAAAAGGTATTCGTGAAAATTGCCCAACAGCCGGTACTGCGGCCAGAAGAGACCTATTGTACCAGTTTCACTATTGATTAAACAAAGCCCCTTAAAGCTTTGTGAATAAAGTCTAGAACTAAATCTAGAGAAGAGTTCTTAATCTGTTCTGGTGACAGAAATTCCTTATGAAACAGGTTTCTTCTGTGCGTTATTAAAGCTGGACAGTCACAAAGAATGTGCATGGTTGTTTCCTCATCTTCGAGGCATAATCTGCATTCCGAGTTAGCAGATAATTGTAGTTTATGAAGGTGATATTTCAGACCATAATGACCTGTAATGAAACCCGTTATCATCCTTAAATTACATTTTGAGAATTTAAGAATGTTTTTGTAGGAGTAAGGTGTTATCAGTGCTTTGCTTTGTCTGAGTCCTGGAAAGTTTACCCAGTACTCTAGCCGCATATGATTTTCCATTTCCTTGATAATCTGTTTTGTACTAGCCCAGTTTATTCCACAAAAGGGTTGAGGGCCTATAAAAGCAGTTTTTGATGCAGTTCTGGCAAGCTCATCAGCTTTTTCATTTCCCAAAACTCCTCTGTGGCCCGGAACCCAGTAAAGGTTTACCTTATTCCGAGCTGCAAGTGATTGCAGAAGATCGTAACACTCAAGGACCTGTTTTGATTTGAAAGTCCAAGAAGAAAGAGCTTTAAGAGCAGCCTGGCTGTCAGAGTAAATAACAATTTTCGAGCCAGAAGGTTTTTTGATTAAATTGGATCTTACGCATAAGTTGATTGCGTGGATTTCAGCTTGGAAGACACTCGGCCATGTGCCCATTGCTTCCGAAATGCTGGTGTTGGGTCCAAATACACCAGCGCCAGTGCCTTCATCCATCTTTGATCCATCTGTGTACCAAACCAAACTTTTTGGGTCAACCTGTGGGCCTCCATTCTCCCACGTTGAACGTGATGGTAGGTGTACCTCAAATTTTTTGCCAAAACGATGGAGTTCTGTTGTATAGTCTCCATCGCATTGAGGAATTTTATGTGCTCCAAATTTTTTAATATTGTTGTATGACCAAGTCAAGACAACCTTGTTCATGTGGAGTTTTAGTCGAAGCGCACTAAGCGCAGCCGTAGATTGAATGTGTATGTGCAGAGGTGTCAATCCAAGTATTGCCTCAAGTGCTGCAGTTGGACTTGTCCTCATAGCACCTGTCATTAAGAGACACGCTAATCTCTGGAGCTTCATGCAAACAGCAATAGATCCAGCCTGTGTGACCTTTTGCCACCAAACCAGGCAACCATATGTCATGATAGGACGTACTACTGCCTGATATATCCAAAATATAATCTTTGGGTTTAGGCCCCAAGTTTTACCTATACAGGACCGTATTGTCCATAAAGCCGTTAATGCTTTGTTGTATACTTTATTTAAGTGTGAACTCCAAGTGAGTTTACCATCTAGGACAACACCTAGGTACTTTGTTTCACTGGAAAGAGAAATATTAGTGTTTCCTAAACGTACGGGACCTATGTCTAGTTTACGTTTGAGTGTGAAAGGCACAACAACAGTTTTCTCCGGATTTATGGAGAGACCCTCACTTTCGCACCACGCTAAAATGCGTCGAAGGTGCCCTATCAATATCTCTGATAGACTCCTACCATGCTTTCCAGATACTATTATAACTAGATCGTCTGCATACCCAATGGCGTCACAACCAATATTCTCCAACAAGATTAAAAGTTCATCAACAACCACTGACCAGAGCAAAGGAGACAGTACTCCACCCTGTGGGCAACCTTTTGCGGCCTCAACAGCTACAGACGTTCTACCTAAGGTTGATGTAATTTTTCTGCTTTGAAGTATCGCCTCAATCCAGGAAATAACATTAAAATCAACATTTCTGTTAGTTAAGGCATTCGAGATCGAGCCATAACTCGTATTGTCGAAAGCTCCTTCAATATCCAGAAATGCACAAAGCGCAATTTCTTTGTTTTTGTGGGCCTTTTCAATTCTACTGACCAAGTTATGTAAGGCCAATTCGGTAGATTTCCCTTTGGAATAAGCGAATTGAGTTTTGTGAAGAGGTTGACTTTTAGACAGTTCTGTACGAATATAGATATCTATGAGTCTTTCCATAGTTTTCAGGAGGAAGGATGAGAGACTAATCGGTCTATACGATTTAGCGTCATCACTTGGTCTATTACCATTTTTTGGTATAAATACCACTTTCACTTCTCTCCAAGCTTCAGGTATATGTTTCCAGCAAAGGCTAGCCCTAAAAAGCACCTTTAAAGGATTGATAAGAACGTCTATGCCGTTTTGTATAAGTGCCGGGAAGATACCATCACTTCCTGGTGACTTGAAGGGACTGAAAGAATTAACTGCCCATCTGATTTTATCAATGTCAAAAATGATACCAGATAATCGATTCTCTGGTTGTTCATAACTTAACGTGCGCCTATCTATGGATGCATCACATAAGATCGATCCTGGAAAATGCACATGTAGTAAATGTTGTAAAGTTTCCCTGCCATTTGCTGTGTAGAGACCATCATTCTTTTTCAATAGACCAATGTCATTTGAAAGAGACTTTCTCAACACTTTATGAAGGCGAGCCATTTGCGGAGTGTTGTCAACACCGTCACAGAAAGTTTTCCATGATTTCCGTTTAGATTTTCTAATCTCATTGTTGTAGGCAGTCAAGGATGTTTTATAGTCGACCCACACCCCTGATCGCTTTGGTAAATTAAAAAGCTTCCTAACCTCCCTGCGCATTTCTTCGAGCCTTTTGTTCCACCATGGCACATCCCGTCTGGATGTACGTGGTTCAACCTTACATGCATCTTCATGCGCCTGAGAGATAACAGAGTTTATTTGATCTGCAGCTAATTCAAGTTCATCAATATGACTGATTGAATTCAGTAACTGGTCCTCCTTACTAGCTAAGGATAGTCTAAAGATTTCCCAGTTGATACACTTACGTGCAGCTGGCAAATTTTTATGTAAAAAGTGACCCGGCAGTTCAAAAAGAATATGTTGGTGGTCAGATAAAGAAACCTCCTTTGAGACCCTCCAATTAACAACATAATTGGAGATAAATTGACTAGAAAGAGTAAGGTCAAGAACCTCTCTTCTAATGGCATTAATAAAAGTGGGTTCAGAACCATTGTTCAATATGCTGACGTTATTACTACTAAAGTATTCTAAAAGCATTTGCCCTCTTCTATTTATGTTAGTACTACCCCATAAGGTATGGTACGCATTTGCGTCGCAACCAATTATAAATTGTAAATTATTTGATTTGCAATAACTTACCAAGTTTGTGACTGCTTCAGGTGGTGCTTCATCTGCATCGCCTGGAAAGTAGGCCGATGCGATCACGATCTCTCGTGTTCCGCACTCCGTCGGGATCTCAAAAATGGCCGACACCAAGTCCCTCTGGATGAAATCTGGAATTGGAATACAGTTAACATTTTTGTTTACTAGTATAGCAGTTCTAGGCGACTCTTGTCACGTTTATATATCAACTTACTTGATTGATGTTGAAGGCCTTTTATATGCCCACCGACTGTCCATGGCTCCTGGATAAGCGCTATGGCCAGTCCTTTTGTGGCGAAGGTCCTGCACAAGGTAGCCGATGCTCCTTTCGCGTGGTGCAGGTTCGCCTGTAACACCCCTATGGTGCTCATTTTTGTTGAGTTTTATTGAGAGAGCGTTCGACTTCCTTTTGAAGTCGAGCTCTTCGTGGCCCTTTTTCCTTCTGGCGCTCTTTTGGAGTTGTTGATGCTCCACCCACAGGTGGCCGCATCCAAAGCCTTTTTTGAATGGCGGCTCTACTAGTAGTTGGGGCCTCATTTGGATTCACAATAGACGTAAGTGTTGATTGTGGGACCACGTGCTCCACTTTCTGTTTCTCCGTCCTTGTGATCTGGAGTTTATTTGGAACCTTTTGTTCCACAGGCCGTTGTTCTGGCTGCCCCTCCTTTGTCATACTGTTAGTTTTAAGCAGTAGCTTGACATGGCTGAAGCGATATGCAATTCTGCCTCCACTCTGGACCAGTGAGTTCCAGGATGCATCGTCGACAGCAAAGACGATGTGGAGCAGTGGACCTTCTGCGGTCCGCTGTAATACCTTCCAGGTGCTTGCTTTAATCCTGTTCTGGGCCTCAATTGTGGCAAGAACCTTGGTATTTTCAAAATCGCAACTGTGTGGGAAGTATCCTCGCACCAGATGTGTTTTTGGAAACTCCGACTCTTCAACCACTTTGGCGCCCAGTTTAGCCTTTGTTGCAATAGCTGCCGCATTTTTACGGACCCATTCAGCCGTTTGGTTATTTGTGCACACCATCATGAGCCATCCCGTACGAGGGAAACAACCTTCAAATTCTGGTTTAACCTCGTCAGACGCCAACTCTATGGCAGTCTCAATTATAGCCTCCTGTAGGTGTGCAGTCTGTTCCCTGTTTAGGGGGCACTTAGCCAAATCAAAAGGAACAAATCCTAATTTGATCCCCTTGGCCTGACTGGCTACTTGGCTGAAAGAGGGTTTACTCGATCCCTGAATCGAGGTGTTTTGTTTTGGTTTCTTACCAGCTGGCATGACCATGTCGTCAGATAAAGCCCTTTTAGCTGGCGCACGAGTTGGAAGTTTAGAAACCATGTCTAGGGCCACATCCCTAGAGTGTCCCTGACTCATGTAAGCCTTTAACCTCCTCTTCTGCATTGAGTTCAGTTTAACAAAACCCTTCTGGTCATGTAAACTGATCCCTTTCATACAAACATTGACAACAGTAGCACCTGACTGTTGAGAACAGAGACTGACTCCGTCAATGTCAATAGAGGCAGCATCAGACCCTTCAGTTTCTGTGCTGCTAGCATCAGTATACTGTGAAAAAACAACATTTTCCACAGCGTGTATATTTTTGCAGATGTGCCCAACAGCACCATCTGCAAAAGGTTCACTGACCTTTGACACAACAGTCGACTGGTCGTTGTTAATTCCCTGCCCGACAGCAGTAGTGTTTGATGCGATAAGGGTAGCATCATCCCCTTTAGTTTGTTCATTAGACGTATCCATATGATATCCCACGAGTATTAGGGAAGTATAAAGTCGCCATCGGCAGAGCCCATTTACCGACAGAAGGCAAATTGAAAGCGGAGGTCGCCTGGTATCCGCAGTTCGCTATTAAGGTCATCACTAGCCCCGTGACCAAGTTCCTACAGGCATAGCTGTTCCACCGTAGATTGGGGGGTTGTTCGGGTCTCATTCATACATACACACATACTACACCATACACCATACATCCTAGGTACAAAAACTATAGATTGTTTCATATCTTCAATCAAACCCAGGGTGTTTTCCTTCACCCCGCCTAGTTGCTGGCGACCCCAAAACCAGCAGAGACATGACCTAACTGCTTTGGGATCACCGATCCTACAAACAACTAAACTTCCATTAAAGGCCGATCGATTGACTAACGAACTTAATGAGTAGCACCAAAATGCAAAGACTCATCTACTCCCCGAGACGCTAAGATGTTATAGTAGCCATTCGGACCACGTCAGTCAGCCTACATAAAGTTACTACTAATACACATAAAATTACTACTACTACAAATACTACGTAAAATAAAACAAACACAACTACATAAAACAACAAAACATAGACTACATGACAACACAAAACTACCTAAAGGTAGATCTTGGTTGTACACCTCGTTCTAGAAACGTTAAAAATTCACAGTCGTCTGACAAATGCCAGGTGATTGCGAATATTCATATTTATAGTCCGAGTTGTAGCTAAGCCCCTACACCACGTCAAGGTGCCTACCATGTAGAGGTTTCTATGCTTACATCCGCATAAAAATTGATCAGTTTCATCATTGCATTTGTAAATCACTCCTTTCATATACTGAAGCAAATATCTTTTGGAGAATTTCCGTTTTGAAGAGTTTAAGAGAGCATATATGCTTAACCGATAGTGACGATATTTCAGCGACAACGGAATAGATATTTATTTTTTTGTATAGCAACTTATTCTTAAACGCTCATTGAGTGAATATAATCCTCTTTTTAAATATCCTTATTTATGTCATGCTATCATCAATTATTAACTACTTGAGTATTTGAAATCATTTATAAGGCATATTTAAAGTTGTTCTAAACTTAAGTGCAGTTTAATAATATTCTCATACAATATATTACTAATTTATTAATTATAGAAATGCTATTCACTTCCTTCTTGTGAGCTGTGAGCCCAATTACTAAAGTTTCAAAAAGAATACCAAACTACATATTCCGGAAGAAGATATACTAATAAATAGGAAATTACTTAAGAGTATTTATACTCCCTAATTAAAAAACTTTGATAATCTTATATAAAAGACTTTAGAATATCTCAGCATGAAAAATCTTCATATTCCTTATTATCCTTAAGCATTATAAAAACTTTAAGAAACTTTGTATTATTTAACTGCTTGGAAAATTTAAATATTTATTTTCTGCTTATAATATAAATAGAAAATTCTTATCTGCTTTTAAATAGAAAACAAGAAATTTTCTCCTTTGTGAAAGAATATGCAGAAATTTTAATTGAAAATCACATACATAAATACAGGGTTATTTTAGCATAATCAACTGCTTTATTAGTTTTATAAAGATTTAAATAATTCTCTCAAAAATTCCAAAATAAATGTAAGAGGAATAATAGTTAGACTAAAAAATGCAATAGTCATAATAAATTTAAGAAATACAAAAAAAAATCATCTATGTTTATACGAGTATCCTTCCACAATGATGCTATAACCCACATCCTGTTTCCATTTGCTTATGTGCTCGTAAACTCATTGAAATTTTTGTTGAGGTAAACTGTTTCTGTATTTTCTTAATATTATTTCCTCTACAATTTTTGCCGAGAGCAATTCTTTCCATTGTTTTCCAATAGTTCACTGTAAACCTTTTGTAATGACCGAAATCACAAAATTGTATGGGAAGTACTTAAAAACACAATAATTGCCCCCTGAGGATGTGTCATCAAGTGAACCGTGTCCTTTTTAGTTTGTTTTAAAGGCACTCATCTTTATTGTTTTAAACTTCTTGAAAACAAGCACAACATTAAACAAAACATCTAAACATCACATACAGATGTGCTCACTCTGAAACATCACACAATTCCTTATACATGTTAAGTACAAAATAAAAATGAAATACAATGCGTGCGAAGGAACACAGCAAAACACTTAAATATCCTTACATATCCTTACATATACTCGAACATCCCTACAAGCACTAAAGTTGGTAATAGACGTTGAAATTTTAAAATCGTAGCAAGAAAATCAATATTATTTTAGCAGGGAGATGAATACATGTGAGTGACAGCACTCTGCTTAGAAGATAAGTTTTACTTAGGTTCTATCAAGTGCGCTCGTTATAATATCACAGTGAAGTTTTAAAATAGGTATCTTCTTAAATTGAAATATAAGTAGACATTATAATATAGTCTTAACCAAACATAATGGCTAATAAGCCGGAGTTGAACAGATTTTTTAATCAGTATTTTTGTAATTAGAACCGACTTTAGCTTGTTAAAGAGTAGGCGGCCAAAATTAGAATCTCTCATAATATATTTCTCATATATAATATTACAGTCAGAATCAATCAGTCAGAAAAAAATCAAACTCTGGAAGATATTTTTGTACTCAAATTCTGGATCAGGAATCTGTTGTGGCAGTATAAAGTAAGGAGATATTTCTTTAATGTATCCATTAAGAAACTCGGTCAGATAGTTAAGAAAGCTGGAACCTATACATTATTATATAATATTAAAAGTTTCGACATGAAATCGTTCAACAGCCGGTACTGCGGTCAGAAGAGTCCTATTGTACCAATATCACTATTGATTACACAAATCCCTTTAAAGCTTTGTGAATAAAGTCTAGTACCAAATCTAGAGAAGTGTTTTTAATTTGATCTGATGACAGAAGTTTTATATGCAACAAGTTTCTTCTGAGCGTTATAAAAGATGGACAGTCACAAAGAATATGCATAGTAGTTTCCTCATCTTCGAGACATAATATGCATTCCGAATTAGCAGAGAATTGTAGTTTATGAAGGTGATATTTCAATCCATAATATCCTGTAAAGAAACCCGTTTAAGGATGCCTTTATAGGAGTAAGGTTTTATCAGTGCTTTGCTTTGTCTAAGTCTTGGGAAGTGTTCCCAGTATTCCGGCCGCATGTGATTTTCAATTTACTTGATGATTTGTTTTCAACTGACGCAGTTGATTTCATAAAGAGGTTGAGGGAGAGTTTTTAATGCAGTTTTGGCTAGCTCATCAGCTTGTTTATTTCTCAAAACTCCTCTGTGACCCGAAACCCAATAAAGGCTAACCTTACTCCGAGTTGCAAGTAACTGCAGGAGCTCATACCCATACCCCATCGTCTATATTTTCCTCTTCTTTGAGTGAAGAAGAAGAAAATTGAAGAGAATATTGAAGAGAGTCCTCTTCAGTACTATAGAAATCCTAAAACAATCCAAATTCTCTTAAACTTCATATATTAATTAAATTGTTCTGCAAGGATAAATGCATATGTAGCATATCCTTTTCACATTTGTTTGCTGGGTTATTTTTATACATAAGTTATACATCACACACACACATTCACAGCCAAGCACACACACCTGCAAGTACATTGTGTGTATTAAAAAATTGTGAATTGATTTATTTTGTTATTGGCAGTTAAAGGATAACCGAACACATAAATTTATTGCTCATTTTAAGCATTTAAAGGATGCAAAACAGGCAAACTTATTCGATAAGCAAAACAGGAGGAAAATAATAGCTTCGGAAAACGAAAACAAAAATATTTTCCTTGACTTTTGTGATGAACTAAGCCTGTTGGCTGAGTGTTTTTGAGGTTAGAAAACAGGACTCTTGTGTTATTCTAAGTTTGAAAATATTTTATTTTGTAAATTCTGTACAGTTTTTGTTAAATACGAACTAAACTAAATTAATTAAAAGTTTCAATAAAACAAAATTATGCAGCAAAATTTTCTGTTTATA